CCGCCGCCCCGGGGGGGGACAGCCGCTGCTTCTCCACTCGCTGAAGGAGGGGTCTGAGTTCAGCAGTGCCCCGTGGCTGTGCTTGTGGGGACACTCTGTGCCCTGCCCGTGGGCTGTGCAAGGGCAGGCGCTGGGCGCAGGCTCCGAGCCAGGCTCCCACTCCAACGCTCCACCAAATACAGGCGACCGAGGAAAGGAAAAGAAAAGAAAATCAACGTTCCTTCAGCAAACAATTTACTTATATTATCTTCCCATCTCTGGTTTGGCTAGATTACTCTCAAACACATAAATTTGTGCCAAAAATAGAACCTGGTGTCCTTGTCATTTGGTATAAGCAGTACTTGGAATAAAGCATCTATGAACAGTGTCTGACCGCTGTGTTTGCTGAACATGTCCATTTTACTCCCTAAGGGTTAGGAATTTCCTTTCAAGAAACAGAACGCATTTACAGACTTAGAAAGCTACAACAGCCTTTATAAAGAAGTAACTCCTGGAACTTCTATCTAGAGTATAAAACTACAGCATGAAAAGACTTCTCACTACAGCTCTTTACGGTCTCCGGTGTCTGCGTGTCGCCGTGACAAAACCCGCAGGCGCAGAGTTCTGTCAGTCCCTGGCAGCAGCACTGCCCAGCACCCAGTCAGGGCTGTCCCTCCTCTCTCTGCCCCAGGTATTCCTCTGCTTCGGGGACGCCGCTGGCCCGCAGGACGTCCAGGTAGAGCAGGTAGTCCTGGAGGTAAGCTGGCAGGGGCAGCTCCCGGATGGAGCGGTCCGACCGCAGGCGCTCGCTCCTCAGAACGGACCGGATCTCGAGGCGACAGAGATGAGACAGGGGAGGAATGAAGGCTGAAAAATCAAAACCCAAGTCAAACGCTGAGCAGGACACCACGAGACTGAGCAAGGACACTGCTTGCACAGTACCTGGATTAGCTGGATCTCCTCTGAACCCCTCAGCCTCTGGCAGATAACGAGGCTAAGCTCTCGCTAGAGATGGGCTGCTAGAATCAGTGGGTTTGGAAATTCCCTATAGGAGCTAGAAAAGTTACCTTAAACTTCTAGAAACAAAGTGTCAGAGCATCATTTTTTCTTTCCTAAGAAAAGCAGCCTAGCACTGCTGCCTGCCTGGGGAGAGAGAGAGGCACATGCCACCTTAGAAGGATTGAAAAGTTAAGTCTAGAAGTAAATCCAGCGACAAAATAAGACAGAGGAAAGCATTTTTAGGATAAGTATTAAATGACAGTATTAATTGGCAGCATGACTCAGTGGGCCAATGATGCCAAACACTCTAACATGGTGCTAAAGAACTCCACTTAGGACAAGCCCTGTGCCAAAAAGATATACTGACACGTCTGTAAACGCACATTTGCTCAAACACAGACATTCATATTGTAGATCAATTTATCCCAACAGGAAACTCTAGTGCCTCCAGATTCTCCTAGAGTGGCTCCTCCACCAACGTTCCTCACGAGGAGTCTGACATTCTCTGCAGTAATTCCTGTATTTCAGTGTAGCAGGGTGAGTGGGGCAGGAGTGCAACTCCACAGGCGTCCAGCTGGAGGTGTGAACACCCACTGGGGAACTGTTCCACATCCACCCTCCACTGCCCATTTCCTCTGCTCCTCACACAACCAGCTTATCTCAGAACCACAGAACCATTAAGGTTGGAAAAGACCTCTAAGATCATCAAGTCCAACCATCAATCCAACACTCCCACGACCCCTCAACCCAGTTTGAGTGTTTGGTATCTCTCGAGGGGGAACCTTCCTCTCAGCACAGCAGTCAGTCTGCTTCCCCTGACTGCTCTGTGCTAAAAGAATGAAGAAGTGGAAACCTTCCAACCACTTTTCAACTTCCTCCCCCTGCTTTTTCCTCTCTGCTTTCTCTCTTTGGCTGTAGGTACTACATACCACTACAATATAAACATATTTCTTATATACTTACTAATAGCAAAGGAAGCAGAGAAAGAACTTCACCTAAATTTCCCCAAATAAAACCTTTTTTTTCTTTTTTTAAATTCCAAAAAGATATCCTGATTAGCTTCAAATATTCCAAAGGAAGTATTATTTAATAACAATATCACATGGACATTTTAAAATTAATTACAGACCCTTTTAAAGAAAAATTTGCTGTGAAATGAGTCACAGAGATACACAAGTGCAATTTTTCAACACCCTAGTGCATAGATCACAGGGCTGTGGCTTGTTTCTGAAGGGTGAATGCAGTGTTTTCCTGCACAACCAATTATTAAATCTTTTCAGCTGGCCACAGTTTGATTACAGAGTGACAATGAACAGCTGGATTTGTAGGTATTAATATGTTTTGTATGGTTTGTATTTGATTTACTGCCAGATGCTCACGGAAGAGGATAAACACTTTACTGGAAATACAAATCAAATGAAAAAGCTAAATCAGTGGGATGTGGTGTGGAAAATGTAATAGTGATATTGCTCATCTTCCCTTAAAGCTTCCAAGAGGCTGAAGGAATCCTTTTGGGAAGGTGCAGTCCTCATTTACAGCCACTGCCCCTATTTTATAGCACAAGCATTTATTTGTAGTGGACAAAAGAGCCTTAGCTGAGAATACCTACTTGAAACATGCCAATTAGGGACTGAACAGGGTAACAAGTAAAATTTCATTCAAATACATGTTTTTCTCTATTTTTTTTTTAATTTTTATTTAGGCTAACTGCTATTTCTGCCCCCCAGCTCCTGGGTGAGCAACACCTACTGCCTGTTGACCCCTGTTTGCTGCCATGCATTAGCACAGGGAGCTGTTCCCCACTTACAGCCTGGGAGCTGCCATACACAGAGACTTTGTGTTCCCCCCCCAAAATTGTACTGCTTACCAAAATGGCTCTTGGGAGTCCAAGTGAACTTCTCTTTGTACTCTGCAAGGTGTTGCTCTACAGCTGGAGGAAGTCTCTTCCAGTTGGTGAACTCCAGGATGAAATCAAGGACGTTCTTGCTCACGGAGAAAATCCTGCATGACAAAAACTCCCATGAAATGCTGGTTTACACAACTGCATGCATAGAACAATGGAAACAATGCACAGAAAGCTTGACTGTTTTCTAACAAATCCTTACAGCCTATACCCTAAGCCCAGAAATGAAAAACCATTCAAGAGAAATACAAAATAATTTTGGCTACTAATATACTAATGTATGAGTAAACACATAATTACTAATGCAATTTTATCTTCCTCCACATCTTTTTCAAGTTAGACTTAAAACACCTGCTCTGAAATTTAAACTCCTCAATAACAGGCAGCATTCTCCTTTGCATTAATTTCTTATTTCATTTCCACTTTGATTTTAAGAAGGGGGTCAAGAACCCAGAGCTTTATAAGCATCACCATCACATTTGGGGAAAAAATGAACATATAATGAGCTACTTATTTATGAAAACAAAACCAAACCACAAAATTTGCAAGTGTTTCCAACTCTCCTTCTAGCAGAGATTGCAATTAGCAAAAATTACCAACTCTCCTTCTAGTAGAGATGGCATTTATAATATTATATACATACTCAGGCATCAATATGATTTACATTTTAAATCTTTAGCACGTGTGAAGAACTTTTACCAACAGCTTAATGGAATAAAGCATAAAAGGAGGTTTATGCAACAGGAGGTAAAACGACTGGTTTAGGATGAGGCATGCTGAGGAACCACCAAATTCACAGCCCAGCTTCTCAGCCAGCTGTGTGCAGTCCTGGGGTTGCATGGAACTCAAAACATGCAAAAATACCAGACTAGACAGTTTTAACACACCACTTTTTTTACAAGAGGTTCTGTCAAAATTATTTCATGTCCTTTCTAGGTTTTATTATTTCCTTTTCAGATTTGAAAACCACACAGGAGAGAGCTGTGACTGCCCAGCCTTCCCTAAGCAAAAGGTGAATTTACTTTTCCCACTGGTAATTAAAATAGCCAGTGCTCTAGACTGACAAGGAGCCACAGAGGTTTTTAAAGTTATTTGTATGTGGAAAAACTGTAAAAAAACCCCATCAGACTGGAATTTCTGCCACGTTACTTTGTTGGACACAATCTGTAAGCACATCTGCTTCCTCTCCTCCCAGCCTTGGCCCAGCTTCACCTTACATTTGTTCCCCATCCCTGCTGAGCTCTTCCTCAGTATCTGAAATTCTTCTCACTCTTGCTGTGTTATATCTACACATGCAATCTGCACCTACATTTGGGGGCTAATAACAGATATTCACTACGCTGTCTGGAGAAGAGAAGACTTAGGGGGGATCTAATTAACGGGTATAAATATATGCAGGCTGGGTGTCAGGAAGGAAAGGGAAATCTCTTCTCACTTATGCCCTGTGATAGGACATGGGGTAATGGTCACAAGATGGAGCACAGGAGGTTCCACCTCAACATGAGGAAGAACCTCTTCACTGGAAGGGTTCCAGAGCACTGGGACAGGCTCCCCAGGGAGGTTGTGGAGACTCCTCCCTTGGAGACCTTTCAGACCCATCTGGATGTGTCCCTGTGTGACCTGCCCTAGAGCAGCTGCTCCTGCTCTGGCTGGGGGGTTGGACTCAGTGATCCCTGGAGGTCCCTTCCAACCCCTGGCATTTTGTGATAAAAATTCTGAAGTGATGCCTTTCCCCAGCACAGTGATAAAGCAACCTCCACCCTGGCTTTCTCCTTAGAACAAATCAGTTATAACTGAACCCAGCTGTGATGTGAGGATGATTTTTTTGCCTTTTCCCCAAGCTGAAGCCTGGTGAACCACTCCTGAGCGTGGGAAGGGATGAGCAAGCGCCCTCCTCGCAGAGCACGTGCTGGAGAAGGTGAAAAATAAAGCAGCGTGGTGTGCTTACCAGCACCTCTGCATCAGCAGGAGGGGGTTGAAGCCAGCCAGCAGCAGGTAGGGCAGCCACTCCCCGTGCTCCTCAGGCACCCTGCCGGCGCAGCGGGTGAACTCCGGCAGCTGCTCCCCAGCAGGCAGCTCACAGCCCAGCCGCAGGAAGCGGCGGAACAAGGAGAACTTCTTGTGGAGCAGGCAATAGCCCAGGTCAATCCCCAGCAAGGTCACCCCGTGCCTCAGGAAAAGGTCCACGAAATGAAAAAACCTACAAAAAGCACGCAAGGAACGGGACACGCCGTTAAGTTTTCCTCCAGAAAGCAGCAAGCGGCTGCCACTTCACTTCTGAGCTCCCAGGAAGCAAGTCTCTGCTACCAAAACTCCCCCAAAAGCAAATTAAAGCCCAGCAGCCCATCCTGACTGCAGCTCTTGCTGGAAATTAAGAGTTTGAAATGCAGATCTGGCTCAGGAAACTCCAGACCCTATATTTTGTCCTTTCTGAGCTGAAAAAAAAGCTGTGTATCTGCAGGAAGCTCTGCAACCTACTGAACTCCTGTACACATTTTTACTAAAATCATTCTATCATTATCAGTTATGATATAGTAATATAATACTACAGAATGATACTAAGAATATTTATTACAGGCTAA